TAGTGTGGGCAAGAAGTAGGGGGTTGGGGGATAGATGGAGTGGGAGGTTGGGGTTTGCAGATGTAAGCTTTTACATATATAGGATGGATAAACAATAAAGTCTTCTGTATAGCACAGGGAACTATATTCAATATCCTATGATAAACCATGGGGCTTCCCAGGTGGCACTAGTGGTAAAGGACCTGCCTGCCAATGCAAGAGACATAAGCGACATGGGTTTGATTCTTGAGCCAGGAAGATCCCCTGCAGAAGAGCCTGGCAACCCACTCCAGTATTCTGGCCTGGAGAATCCCATGGACACAGGAGCCTGGCAGGGTACGGTCCATAGGGTCACAAAGAGTCAGACACAACTGAAGCGACTAGGCACACAGCACGTATGCATGATAAACCATAATGGAGAAGAATATAAAGAAAAGAATGGATATATATATAATATCTATAATATATTATATTTAAATACATATATTTATTTACACACATTCTGGCTGAAAAAAAATTCTCTATCACTCTTGCCATTTGGAAGCAAAACCAACTGGGGAATGTCTAGAAGGAGAGCTTTTGCTATGCACAGCTTTTGGGGGTAGGGCAGGTTGCTGGGTGTGGATCACAGATGGGGAGTGGGATGGTCACATGATTTCAAGACAGCTTAGACTACTCAGAACTTTCTAACTTTTAGAGACAGCATAGACAGGGACCAAAGAAAAACAGAGAGTTTGTGTGGTCTGTATCACAATCTGTGGTTTAGGACCACAGATTTCTCTTTTTCTACTAAAGAAAAGAGTGCATTGCCTTGTTTGGCCCTGGAACACTGGTCTTGCTCACAGTCTTGCTACGAAGTTCTTCCTTCCAGGGTCTATCTCTGTTCAAATCTTGGTTCTATATTTTGCTTTATTGTTTATGTTTTTTAATTCAACTTCCTGGTCTAAACTCTGAAGTTCAACTTCAGCCAATTACAGTTGTAATGCTTTCTAAATTAAGTGCTGGCAGTTCCCAAAGTACAAACACCAAATTTATGAATGTCCCTTATACTGAAAGAGCTGCCCCTTCTTGCTTGTAGGTGGTGTTATCAGAACCACCAGAGAGAATTCCTGTTCCCCCTGAAGTTTTGGCAGCAGGAGGAGAGTTCCTCCCAGCTAGATTTTTGAGTTCAACTAATTTCCCATACAAACCATTGCACATGGTGGTCCAGCTCCCAGACCAGCCTAGAAAAACGGCCCACTTAATCCATAATGTAGCTGAAAAAGAGTGAAAGAAACACAGCTGATAAAAGATGCTCTTGCTCCTGTGTTCTTGTTCATTTCCAAATGAGGGTGACATTTACACAGCCGCATGTACGGGAAAATGTTTGCCCCAGGTTCCAAAAACTGATTTACAAACAAACTCTTGGAAGAAGAGAATCTGATCTAAATTTGGAACTTCTTAGATTAGCTCTAGTTTTCAGCACATATTTTTCCTTTTGTTTGCATAAGGCATCTGGGGACGGGTTTACAGAGACTGCCTCTGCAGGCAAACCGAAGCCATAAGAGGGGCACCTGTCTGGAGTCAGTCACCCAGGTGTTCAGGGACCAAAGGAGTCTCTGTAATTCAGAAAAGAGTTTTGGTTTCAACTTGGACTGGATTTTCTGGATTACTTAAAAATACTGTCACCACTCAGCCTGTGTAGAACTCACATCAGACAGATTCTGTTATGTAAATTCTGCCTTTATACCTTCTCAATCATCTGGTTTGTTGTAAATATGAGTTTTCCTTAAAAGAAATAATACCCCTCACTACCTAATTAGCCCATCAGAAAGTAGTTCTCCATAGTCAGATGGAATTAACGTACATTGGTTGGATATACCCAGAATGCTTTGCTCCTGTTGTCAGTGACCAGATGAGAACGTGAACTCAGGACCTTTCTTCTGGTGGATGCACCTGAAGGACGGAGGTGTTTCTTGAGTCTAATTAGCTGCAACTGAAAAGATTTCCCAGTGAACATTGCTCTCAGGACACTGCTGGGCTCCTGGGCCAGGTACTCTGAGGGTTCTTGCTTTCTATGCCAACTCGCTAGACAGTCAAGGTGTGCCTGCCACTGCCACTGTAGATCTTTTGTTCGCCAGGGCTTGTAAGTGGTATTTTATTTTAGCAATAATGACTGGTAGAGAGGGTATTCCCTGATACTTAATGACCAACTGGAGGAACTGTGGGCCTGAGGCAATGCATATAATATGCTATTAAACTCTGAAATTTAAAAATGTAAAGAAAAAAATAATTACCGTCTTAGGCATGTTACCATGGATACTAAGTACTGTTTATAGTTTTAGTTTTTTCCTAGAGGTTGAATCTAGTTGGGAGACCAATAAGGAAGAAGAACTTCAGACTCAATTTCCACATACTTTATAATGTTTGACATTACCTAGTTAGTGTAAATTTCTTCAAGAAGGCACATATCACCCCCAAAATAGGATGCGTAATGTGTGATATGGATTGCCATAATAAGTATTCATATTTTATTGAACAGTTTGGAAATCAGTATTTAAAATCAGCTAACCTTGTAAAGAATCACATTCTGTTTCCCCAGAATGGCAGTAACTTTCTTATGAATCCTTTTCCCCCCAAGAATGAACCATTTTTCAGCCTTCAAATTGCATGCACATATTTTATGCATTAGTCCCAGAAACACTTTTTTGGTTGGATCTATTATTATAGTGCATAACTCAGAGAGTAACATTTAAGCATGAAGGAGAAAATACGCAGAGAAGAAGCTGATACTCTACAAATTACATTGCAGCTACTTGTTCTATATTTTTTCAAATCCTGGAATACTTTCTAAGTCTTAGGGAAAGATGGGACAGAATTAAATCAATTTCACAACACTGCAGAAGGGCTGGCCCAGATTAACACCTCTGACACCTCATTATCTATCCTAGGGATAAAGGTACTCAGGAAAATTTAGAGATTTAGTTTTATCTACAACTCCAAACTTTCTCCCACAAATATTTTTTCCATGGCTATTAGCAAGATTTATCTGCTTTTATTCTTCTTTATTCTATCATAATCAAGTATTTGTCAAATACTTAATATAGGAATACCATTCATTCCTCCATTCATTCATTTATGTCATTTATTTATTGTGAGGCAAATCACAAAAGCCTGCAAATGAAAAAAACCAAGATCCCCCTTGGAGAAATCTGTCTGCTGAGTCAGGCATGTAATGTAAGTTACAGTTGACGGTAAAGCAACACAGGTTTGAACTGTGCAGGTTCACTTATCTGTGGGTTTTTTTCAATAAATACTAGAGTACTGGAGATTTGGGACAGTTTTTCAGAGGACTGACATTTACTTTAGATGTGAACTATAAAGCACTATACATAATTACAAAGTTGCTATTATTAGTTTCGTTAACTATAGGCATATAAAGATGGGTAAATGCTATTCTCTCTCTTTTTTTTTTTTTTTCCTTTTTGGCTGTGCTTCGTGCCATATGCCATCTTAGTTTCCCAACCAGGGGTCAAACCCATGCCCCCTGCATTAGAAGTATGGAGTCTTAACCATTGGACTTCCAAGGAAGTCCCTGATAGATAAATTCTCAAACAGACTAAAACTCAGTCGGAAATCAAATATAAAAGTCTGATAGTGGTTATAAAGCTTATTTTAATACACTTCCCATTCAGATATCCCTCCAAATATTCGTATCTATTGTCATTGTTTGGAGCGGGAAATGGCAGCCCACTCCAGTATTCTTGTCGGGAAATCCCATGGACATTACATGAGTAATCCCATGGATTACCATGTGTTAGTATGTCCAAACATATAAGTTCATTCATGTGTCTGGCATACATTGTCACATGTGTGCATCCTCTACGAGGGGTTGTGCTTTTGTGTACTTTACTGTACTGTACAGAGTACAGTAGTGTAGGGTCTTTATTTCAAGCCCAGGATGTCTGGAAGCAAGTCTAAAAGCAGCAGTGATGTAGCTGGTACTACTAAGAAGTGCCAAGCGACAATGATGGAAACAAAAGTGAACATAATTGAGAGCATGCCGAGAGACGAAACGCTGGTAGACATAGCTCGTTCTCATGAATTGTTCAGCCATCGGCAGGATTCTAAAGAATAAGGACAAGACTATGGAACACGCGACATCTGCTGTGCTCATGTTGACAATATTATCAAAGAAGCAGGGAAAAGTGGATGGAGGAGATGGAGAAACGTCTCAGTGAATAGATGCAGGATCAGCATCAGGGTTGAGTCCTGTTAGGCTTAGTGCTGATTCAAGAGAAAGCTGAAAGCTTTTATAAAAGCTTGAAGAATAAACATGGTAAACACTGTTAGACTTATGAACAAATTGGACTTATGATCACACTCTTGGAATGGAACTCATTCGTATGTAGGGGACTTACTGTGCTGCAAAAGTTTACTATTATTTTCAACAGCAGCCTTTTCAATGGAATAGTCAAAGGGAAAGGGCAAATGTGCTTGAAAGAAAGAGGAAAAGTACCCAATGCAAGGATGTTGGCATCCAAACACACACAGATGAGGCAAACAGGAGGGCTGGGTTCAATATTCCCAGAGATCGTCTCCCCAGGCACAGGCTAAATCAATTGTGAGGGAGACAGGCTAACCTAATTGAGGAAGCACAGGGCCCGGCAGCAGTGAGCTCTGACTCAGGCTCTGACAGGACCTGGGCTCAATCACTCCCCTGGACTCCTCTGTTCTCCTGGTCTCTTCTGCGTCGTCCGCCCACCTCTGCAGCCCCCACAATGGCAGAAGAAAGGCACACCAGTCAGAGCCTTCAAAGCTGGGGAGCATGATGGGGTTTGCTCTTACAGTCCTCCTAACCAGAGATGTTTAGAACTGATAAAATCATGCAAGCCAGGAAGAGCAGAGCTGGGAATGGCAGGAAGGTGGGGGCCACTAGGCCCATGGGCAATGTCAGTATCCACCGATGACTCAGCCCTCGTGCTCCTTCCAGTAAAAGATCTGAGAAGCTTGACATCAAGTGGAAAAGCTGGTTCACTTACCGCAGAGGGAGCATCTGAAAAGAGGGAAAGTTCTCAGTTCTTTACTCAAGTCCAAAGAAGAGATGTGCCCAATGTCCATGGCATCCTCCTCCGAACTGGCCCAGGGACGAGGCCATTCAGGCTCATGACACCTGTCAGCAGTCCTCTTGTGTGCATTGATGAGACTCAGGTTTGATTCCTGGAGAAGGACATGGCAACCCACTCCAGTATTCTTACCTGGGGAATCCCACGGACAGAGGAGTTTGGCGGGCTACAGTCCATGGGGTTGCAAAGAGTTACACAACTGAGCGCAAACATAATCACTGTTGAGTTTACAAACTTGTTGGAGAAGTTTTCTGAACCACTTAGATCAATAACTTCCTCATCAAAGAACTTGGAGGGGCCTCCCTGGTGTTTAGCGGTAAAAAGAATCCACCTGCCAATGCAGGAGACATGGGTTGGATCCCTGGTCCGGGAAGATCCCACATGCCACAGAGTAACTAAGCCTGCGTGCCACAACTACTGGGCCAGCGTGCTAGAGCCCACATGCCACAATTACAGAAGCCCAATCACCCTAGAGTCTGTGCTCCAGAACAAGAGAAGCCACTGCAACGAGAAGCCAGAGCATGGCACCTAGACAGTATCCCCAGCTCGCTGCAACTAGAGAAGAGCCCATGCAGCAACAGGACCCAGCACAGCCATCATAAATAAATTTAAAAACATTTTTTTAATGAATTTGGAGGAGCCACTTTGTTCTTTTCCCAAAGGATCCAAGATGGGATGAGACGTTTCTTTCTGATGAGATGAGAGCTGAACTTGAAGGGATGAAGAAGAGAAACATGCCCTGCTGATCTGTCCAGGCATTCAGACCTAAGTGCACACATGTGCAAACAGATAGCAGGGGGGGACACCAATTCTACCTTTTCTGATCATCCCTGAGTCCCCTCAAACCTCAATAGAGTTCATGAAGCTGCTATTGGGTGAATATGGAGTCATAAATCAAGAAAATATTTATAGAGGTTGATAAAAACTGAATGTTTTTAAGTTTCTGCAATTGTCCACCGTATACAAGTCTTGGCATGGATCTGAGTTATTGTACATCTGCCTTATTGGCATGGTTCAGTTTCAAGAACTGATCGAGCTGACATACAAGCCATGCATGCAAAGCAGGTGCAAAACCTTGGGATTTCAGATGTGAATATATGAATCCACAAATGTCCTAAAGTTTCTGACCATGTATCAGAACTCCAGGGAACGTTTGCATTAGCTTAGCTCTGTAAAAATGCATTCTCTTTTATGAAATGGCTAAAATCCAAAATGGGAATTGAAAGCAGGGTTGGAAATCTGGCATTTGAATGCAGATGTTCCCAGACTGAAAGTATTTAGGAATTCTCAAAAAGAGTTCCCTTTGCTCCTTATATGTGTATTTTAATCAAAATCAATTGACAGCTAAAAAAAAAAAAAAAGTCAACTGACAAGAGGCTTATAATACTTTGGTATTAATAAGATGAAGTACTTTTTATAGCCTAAGTTTTTTCATTCATTGACCTCACTAGTCTACAAATATAAATGATCTCATCTGGTCATGACCCAGGTTTTACCGACTGTTGTAGGTCGTGTTCCCAGGGAAGCAGTTGATTAAGGACTACTCTTGGGATCAATACTTTAGATGGGAGAGGGGGAAGCAAGATTAGAGAGAAAAGTGGAGGTGCGATCCAGTCAGCAGCCAACCCACGTGGAGTTCTGACATGGGGCAGCCATTTAGAGTTGTCCCAAGTTAGGGCAAGAGGCCCACTCAAGGCAGGTTGTCTCTGGAAGGAGCTGTGATCCTCAGATCCCCAGGCAGATTTCTTTAGCTGAGACAAACCCCAGGGGCTAACAGCTGAGGGCCATCATCCAACAGCCCTCTCAGCAGCTGGGGAAGAATGGAATGCATTTATCCATAAGTGCTTACGCTCTAATGTTCAAAGGTTTGCCCCCCCACCTCTCCACCGCAAACTTAGTCCCCTAAATTTCTGGCTTAAGCAATGCATGTGCCCCCATGTGGCTCAGAGAAGCTCCAAGACAGACTCTAGAAGCTTCAGCAGAGAAGTGACGTGTGGGTAAGAGGCAAGGGCCTGTTAGGTTGCCCCCACAGGAAGCTGCTCACAGCCTGCATCAGTAGCTGTAATAAAGGACAAGAGATGCCCAAAGACACTGAGATGGTACCCAAGAGGTACTCCACGACTAAAACTGAATGCTGCTTTGAGAGCATCTTCTTAGTAGAAAGACAAATACTATATGATATCACTTATATGCAAATCTAAAATACAGTACAAATGAACCTATCTACAAAAACAGAATCATAGACATAGAGAACAGACTTGTAGTTGCCAGAGGGGAGTGGGAGTGGGGGAGGGAAAGATTGGGAGTTGGGATTAGCAGATGCCAAGTATTGTATCAATATATAGAGAATGGATAAACAACAAGGCCCTGTATAGCACAGGGAACTATATTCAATCTGCTGTGATAAATGGTAACAGAAAAGAATATGAAAAGCATATATATATATACATACCTTTATACATATATAAGGGAGGAGAAGGGGACGATAGAGGATAAGATGGTTGGATGGCATCACCGACTCGATGGACATGAGTTTGAGCAAGCTCCGGGAGTTGGTGATGGACAGGGAGGCCTGGCGTGCTGCAGTCCATGGGGTCGCAAGAAGTCGGACATGACTAAGTGACTGAACTGAACTGAACTGATACATATATACATATAAGGTCCTTCTGTCTTGCACAAAGAACTGTATTCAATCTCCTGTGATAAACCATAATGGAAAAGAATATGAAAAAGTGTGTGTGTGTGTATATATATATATATGTCACTGCTATACAGTAAAAGTTAAATCAACTATACTTCAATGAATTTTTTTAATAAAGAGCATCTTCTTAAAATCTTTTCATCTTTATCACTGTGATGATGATGCAACGATATGTGAGCCACAGAAGGTTCTAGGCACTGAGATTCTATCTATGCACACAGACAATATTTGAAAAAGTATGTTGTTTGTTTCCTGTTTCACAGTATGATGCTTTCCTGAATGCTTCGGAGATTATATCTGAAAACAGACCTACTCCAAATATCTAGTCTAGCAAGCTCCACCCAAGTCAATGTCCTTTGCAGAAAATAAATAATTGAAGGAGTGAAACTGTTCATATTACACATATGGATAAGAAACCATTTCTACAGTCATTTTTGGAGTATCTCTGAATTTCCAGAAGCAGCCTTCTTTGAGGCTGGCTGGTGTAAGTGCAATTTCTAAACAATGTCCATTTTTTTCACTGTCTTCTTACCTACAGCCCCTGAAAATGTTTCTTCTCTGGGAATCCAGCACTGATTTTTTTTTCATGGTCAAATTAAGCTGCAACAAGCAATGGAAGATCCTATTTACTTTTTGTTGTAAGACGATCGATTGTTTAAGATAGTGTGGTCTTCTGGATCACAACCCTGATGCAGAGGAGCTTAAGACTTGGCTACTAAATCAGAAAATGGACTGTGGGCAAAATTTCTGAATCTCGATAGACGCTACTCTGCTTCTCTCTTTGAGAATAAAGGGAGATGGAATCACAACTAAATTTACTAAATGGGAGAGCTCTCCGTAAATGCTGGTAAAGAACTGGAATCCTGCTGTAGAGCACAGGGAACTATACTCAATAGTTTGTAATAACTTCTAAAGGAAAAGAATCTGAAAAACAATATATATGTGTGTATATATATGTAACTGAATCACTTTGCTGTAGACCTGAAACTTCGCTTGTGGCTCAGCTGGTAAAGAATCTGCCTGCAATGTGGGAGAACTGTGTTCGATCCCTGAGCTGGAAAGATCCCCTGGAGAAGGGGAAGGCTACCCACTCCAGTATTCTGGCCTGGAGAATTCCATGGACTGTATAGTCCCTGGGGTCCCAAAGAGTCAGACATGACTGAGCAACTTTCACTTGAAACTAACATAACGTTGTAACTAACATAACATTGTAAATCAACTATCAGTTCAGTTCAGTCGCTCAGTCATGTCCGACTCTTTGCAATCTCATGAACTGCAGCACGCCAGGCCTCCCTGTCCATCACCAACTCCCAGAGTTTACTCAAACTCATGTCCATCAAGTTGGTGATGCCATCCAACCATCTCATCCTCTGTCATCCTCTTCTCCTGCCCCCAATCCCTCCCAGCATCAGGGTCTTTTCCAATGAGTCAAGTCTTCGCATGAGGTGGCCAAAGTATTGGAGTTTCAGCTTCAGCATCAGCCCTTCCAATGAACACCCATAACTGATCTCCTTTAGGATGAACTATATGAGAAAAATGAAAAGTAAAAGAATTGGAATCCTTCTGGAGGGAAGAGCAATCAATGATGAAGGTGCAAAAGGCATCCCTTGAGTTCCAAAGGCAGCGGCAAAGAAAATCTCCTCTCTCAGGACTTAGTCCCTGGTGACCCGCTCTACTGACACACAACTTATGAAGTTATGTTAACCTAGGCAGCATATTAAAAAGCAGAGACATTACTTTGCCAACAAAGGTCCATCTAGTCAAGGCTATGGTTTTTCCAGTGGTCATGTATGGATGTGAGAGTTGGACTATAAAGAAAGCTGAGTGCCAAAGAATTGATGCTTTTGAACTGTGGTGTTGGAGAAGACTCTTGACAGTCCCTTGGACTGCAAGGAGATCCAACCAGTCCATCCTAAAGGAGATCAGTCCTGGTGTTCACTGGAAGGACTGATGCTGAAGCTGAAACTCCAATATTTTGGCCACCTGATGCGAAGAGCTGACTCATTTGAAAAGACCCTGATACTGGGAGGGATTGGGGGCAGGAGGAGAAGGGGACAACAGAGGATGAGATGGTTGGATGGCATCACCTACTCAATGGATGTGGGTTTGGGTGGACCCCAGGAGTTGGTGATGGACAGAGAGGCCTGGCGTGCTGCAGTTCATGGGGTCGCAAACAGTCGGACACGACTGAGCAACTGAACTGAATTGAATTAGAGGTTGGCTATTCAACATTTAATTAAGCAACTATTAGTATTTAAATCAAAATGATGCCTATCATGAGAATTCTTAATATAGTTGACCCTTGGACAACCAGGGGTTTAGGGGCCCCACCCTTCCATGCTGAAGGTCTACAGTTGACCTTCCATGAAAATCCACATATAATTGATAGTCTGCCCTCCCTATCTTCAGTTCCTCTCTACCCACGGCTTAGCATCTGAGGGTCAACCAATGCATTGACCATGCGATACTGTACTTATTGAAAAAAACCTGCATTTAAGTGGACCCTCGCATTTCAAACTCATGTTGTTCAAAGGCCAACTGTACACACAGAATTTTAAAAAGTATAACAGTACATACTATTATCTCTCATTACAAAGTGCCTGAGGCACAGAGAGGCTAAGGAAGGCCTCCAAAGTCACACAGCTAAGAAGTAGCAGACTTTTTAATGGTAGAGTCTAAGCCACGCAGCACCAGTCATCAGAGCCTGACTCTTTAATCTGTGTCCTTGATTCTCTCCTTATCATCAAAAAACAAGGAAAGGATCTGTCACAGGATGTAACAAAGTGGCCAAGATAAGGGAGCTGACCTTGATGAAGGCAAGTTAATCCTATCCATCTCTCCCCACGGCCCATCCTCCCAGGACACAGGAGGAGATGAGGGAGGCTGAGGAGCAAAGTTACGGTTTCACTCCATCCACACTCCCAGCTCTGAAGTGTTACTAGATATTTCTGGTTTGAACACAGCGTACGAGACCAGTTGAGGCTCTAAAATCCTTGCAGCTCAGAAACCTGTTGGCCAGGGCACACTTATTTCATGATGGCATCCCTGCCTCACGATGATGTTGCAGAAACAGTTTTGAAATTAGCAAGCTGAAGACCATGAAATAATAAATTCTATACCCCAGTCACTCTCTTCTTGGTGGTTCCCCTGGGGGTACCCAGAGTGGGCTGCAGCCTGTCCCCACATCCAAAACAGAAACTCTGGGACTTCCCTAGTGGTCTAGTGGTTAAGAGTCCACTTGCCAATCCAGGGAACATGGGTTCGATTCCTGGTCCAGGAAGATCCCACATGCCTCCAGGCAACTAAGCCTATGCATCACAAGTGACTCCTCGCTCTGGAGCCCGCCATATGCAACTGCTGAGCCCATGCACCCTAGTGTCTGTGCTCTGCAACAAGAGAAGCCACCACAATGAGAAGAAATGCACATTGAAACCAGAGAGTAGCCCCCACTTGGAGCAACTAGAGAAAGTCGGAGACCAACAACGAAGACCCAGTGCAGCCAAAAAATAAATAAATAAAAATAATAAATAAAGTTTTTTTTAAAAAAAAACACAGAAACTCCAGGAACAAGTTTCTCATTAACTTAAAGAAAGTCTGATTATTCATTAGCCCACCAAATATTTAGGGAACACTGAGCTGGGTATGGAGACTCTGCCTGTGAATAAAAGGCCAGTTTCTGCCTCAAGAAGCTTACAGTTGAGTAAGGATGATGAACTTTGCCCAACTGGACCTGCCATGAATATGAAAACAATAAAAAAAAAAAAGTACCAGGTGTGGCAGGTCACTTAAAAAGAAAACCTTATCTTAGAGAGGTGCCACTGAAATGACATTTCACCTGAGGCCTAAAAACTGACCAGGAGGTAAACACACCTGAGAGGAATCCGCACAGGGGGACCTATGTCGGCCACAGAGCTTCTCCCAGTAAACTACCTGCCCTCCCACATCTGCTTAGACCCCTTGCCTCTCTCGAAGCCAGCTTTAGGGATCCCCTATTCCTGTCAATAGCACTCATCACCCAGAATCCTGGTTGGCTGTTTACCTGTGCACAGTCCCCGGCAGAATGGCTGCACCTTGAAGCCTGGGACTCCTATTTCTTTACTTCTCAGATCTAGTCCACTGCCTGGTCCCTGGTTCACAGTGACCGTCCATCAGATGTTTGTGGAAGGAAGTAAAGCAGGGAAGATGGTGAGAGGGAGGGAGCAACAATGAACTAACACCTCCCTGCGTCCACACTTTATTCTCCACAATGTCCTGCGCCTGAAGCCTGCTAAGTCGCTTAATTCGTGTTGTACTCTTTGCAAACCTATGGACAGTAGTCCGCCAGGCTCCTCTGTCCATGGGATTCTCCAGGCAAGAATACTGGAGTGGGTTGCCATCCCTTCCTCCAGATCTTCCTGAAGTAGGGATTGAACCCGTGTCTTCTGTCTTCTGTATTGGCAGGCGGGTTCTCTACCATTAGCGCCACTTGGGAAGCCCCACAATGCCCTGATTTTTGTCAAATAACAAAGGACAGCAGTTACGCTCAAAGGTCCTAAGGACCATACCCCGCACCCCTCTGCACGTTAATTTAGCTTCGAAATATTTGCAGGAGGCAGAGGAGACAAAGATGAATAAGATGCAGCCTTTCTGTGTTCAGGGCGTTTATGATCAAGCGGTGGAAACGCAACAGAAATGCAATTCTTTCATCTTTCCATCTTTTCGCCCAAACGTAAACAGAAAAGGCAGGACGAGTTTAGGTGTCAACCATCCAGGCTAGAGCCTGGCCTTACCCGCAGACCGCTAGCTTTACAACTGTGGAGGAATGCCTGCCTCTGCTCGCTACAAACTTTCCCGCGCATTCACTGGTTCTTCCCAACCTGGGATGAGGGGGTCGGTTAAACCCATCTGTCCTGAGCGGGGTAGGCGGCGGAGCTGCCCGATCTCTCCTAGCAGGGTAGGATGCCCCGGTCCAACCCCTCCGCAAACCCAGGACGCACCTGCGCGTCTCAGTCTCTGCGACCCCTGCCGCCGCTGCCACCCCTTGGCCTGACCGCCCCTCCCCCACACGACGTCAGCCCGGTCACGTGGGTGACTCCCTCCCCCGCCACGCCGGACTCAGCTGCTCGGCTCCTAAGGGGGGAGCAGGGGGCTGGCGGCGCGTCTGCTCTGCCCCTCCCGTCCCCGTTGCACTCCCGGGAGCCCGAGTCAGCCGGGAGCAGGGGGTGGGGGGAGTTGATGAAATCGGAACCCGGGTTCTGAATGAAGGGGAGCAGATGTCCCTGTGTTGCTGGGAGGCCTGGGTGGCCTGCTGTTCAGACGGCGATCGTCGGGGCGCTGACCTTCCGGGGCCGCAGTCCGTCTCGGTGCAGATGGTCTGCCCGCCCTGCCCGCTCCTCGGCGCGGGGCCCGCGGCAGCCGGCGGGTCGGGGGCCGGAGGGAGCCGTCTGCGTGGTTGGGGGGGCGGGGGTGAGGGGGAGAGGTCGGGGAGGAGGCCCGCGGGGCCCCGGGCGGATGGGCAGGGCCGGCCCCGCGCACAAAGGAGCCCGGCGGCGGCCCCTCGGAGGACAATGCAGCCCTGGGGCGCGGGGGGCTGCGCCGCGCTCCAGCTGCCTCTTCACAACGAGGCCTGCAAACGTGCCCACTTGATTCTAAATCCTCTTAGGCGCTCGCGGTGTGAACCGGGAAGGGGGTGGCCCTCCAAGCCTTTGCAATCCCAGGCCTGAAGCCTGGCGCTCGGCGAGCGGTTTGCACCACGCATGCAAATCGAGTTGGCGTCTTGGGAGACGTGGGCAGAGTCTGTTGGGTTACCAGCAAACGCCCCGATACGGCCTTTCAGTGCCACGCGGGGTCCCGAAAAATGTGCAGGGTGTTTCCCCTGGAAAGACTTCCTGTTAAGTGTTCACAAAGGCCAGCTGAGCCGCGCGTCATTAGTCACCCAGGTATTTACACCGTTTTTCCTATTTCCTTTCTCTCTTGGCCTCTGTGGTCAGTGGTATAAAATTCCTAGGAACTCCCACCTAAACACCAGCTTCCTGTTTATGCTCTCAGTGGCTTTAATGTCTAGCTGTTGAAAGCAGTTGACCAAGGCTGTATGAAACGGCTAGCAGACAGAGGTTTGCAGGTGAACAGAAAGAGGAGAGAGAGAAAAAAGAAAAAAACAAACCAAATGGGTAGGTCAAAGGTTCGGGTTCATTTTTAATCACTTATGTCAGAATCACAGGGGGAAAAGGTAAAAGTGAAGTGTAATTTGATGCCCAAGATCGTGGTTTAGTTTCATTTGGTCCCTGTGTCTACAGGAACCTGTAAAATATGATGGAAGCTGTAAAATATGATACCTAAACTAGGAACGTTTTCCTTTCTAGTGGGTTAAACGCTTTTTTTCCCCCCAATGTGGCATGATACTTTTGTTATGAAAGGTTAAAATTCTCACATAAGCGCAATCTGTGAGCTCCTTGCGGCTCCTAGGGCTGCTTCCTTAAGTGCCTGCAGCAAAAGGTTGCATTTCTGTAGCTACCTGAACTGCAAAGAACCCGACCTGAAAAGAACCTGAAAGGGGCTTACTCAGCTCTTTTCTGATGCAGAATCCCCTGTGGGACTCCCAGGGAGTGAAGAACTACTCCCTGATAGGATCCCTCTGGAATTCCTTACATCAGAAGACAGCATCTTTCCTTGACAATCTGATTTCTTTTTTTAAAAGGTTTTCTTTCCATAAAACTGGAATCTGCCTCCACTTACGGAACCATGGAGAATTAATCAAATTTCTCTTTCACATGATATTACCCTTCAGATGTTTGGAGACACTCCCCACATCCTCACCCCCAGTCTTCTCCCAGCTAAACACCTGCAGATCCTTCACCAGTCTGTCCCGTGGGTCTGATTCCTGCACCATCCGAGTTATGTAGAGATGCTTCAGTTCACCTGAGTTCCTCTGAAACTGAAGATGGTGTTTCAATCATGCAGAAATTCAGCCTAGGAGGCAGCACTGGAGAAATATGGCTTAAAACCAACAGGGAAAAACAGTCCAACCATGGCCAAGTTATTCAGACAAAAATAAATTCTGGTTTTCCATTTTAGTCTTTTTCTACGCTGAGGCCAGTCATGCCCAGCTCAGTTATGAAGCCGGGGAAAGAAGGAAAAAGCTGTATGGCAGGCTAGCACTGAGCCTTTCATATTCTTGCATTTTATCCTCACAAAACCCTCTGAGTGGGTACTATTGTTATTCCTCTTTTACTGGCTCCAAGGTCAAAGAATCCACGCAAGGTCACACTGCTAGCAGGGAGCAGAATGAGGTCTCTAACCTGTGAATTGCACTTCCAGTGCTTGAAGCTGCTGCCCTGGAGTCCATCCTGAAAACCAAGGTCCTGGATTGGATGTGTTTTTCTGCGTGTTCTATGACATACAGCTTCAATTCAAGGCCAGTTCGCATACATCCTATTTATACAGCTACAAAATCTTTTGAAATGCAAGTTAAGAACTTTATGGGGGAAGAGTTCTTTCTGGAAGCAAATGAAACAGAAATTCCAAGTGAGAGCCAAAAGTCATCCCAAACATGGTTTTATTCCAATGGTATTACTTAACAGTAAAGTGTTATATTACCCTTGAATTTCCTGCCTGGGCTCAGGGTAGGCCAGGCCCTGGATGCTTTTTTGTGTTTATCACAGCAAAGCCATCGCCCCTTACTCACGCTGGCTCTCCAACGTGTCCGTTACTCAAGAAAAAAGGGAAGAATGTTTCCCATGCACGCGCTGTAATTTTTTCTTTTTTTTTTTTTTTTAGTGTTGCTCAGTCTGCCAGAACAAAAGTAAAACCACAGAAAGGAGATTTAGATCAGCCTCTTCATCTGCCGGCTGTTATGTTACAGTTTTAGGAGGGGTTGGACATCAAACACTTGAAACTGTCATCTATGCATTCCTTCTTGGAATAAAGCAGCATTGGCGTGGACCCCTGCTACATTATTTTCTACCCCCAAATGTTGGAAACTTTTGCCCTCCAGGAAAATACAGAAGAAAACCCTGAATTAAGGGAGTTAGTTCTGAGAAAGTCTCTTGCGGTCTGTAATAAACTGGCACATAATGACATCTGGCCAGATGGATTCTCCACCTTCACAGAGATGTTGCTTGGGTGCTCTAATTTGTTGGTTCTTATAAATAGTGCTTGAGAGAACTTTTTTCTTACTGCTCCGCCCCCCCCCCCCCCCCGCCAAGCATCCCTGCAAATCACTACCACATATGATTAAATCTGTTTATTTTCTTTTTTTAAGTATTTATTTACCTGGCTGCATCAGGTCTTAGTTGCAGCATTTTGGATCTTTCATTGTGGCACAAAGACCCTCTTGTAGCATATAGGCTCCAGAGGGCTCACTAGTTGCCTTGAGTGAGCTTAGTTGTTCTGCGGCATGTGGGGCCTTAATTCCTGGACCAGGAATCAAACCGGCGTCCCCTGTATTACAAGGCAGATCCTTAACTCCTACAACACCAGGGAAGTCCCTGTTTATTTTCTTCAAACTTAATGGCAACTTAATGCTCTCTATGCACTTGTTCATGGTCTACCTTCTCTTGATCATGACTTGTGCATGAGTCAGGTAACCTGGTCTATCTCATTTTTTACCTAGCCTACCTTGAGTAGGTCCTCATTTTTTGAATGCCTACATCTTTTGTGCATATATATGTAGCTCTTAATGCAATTTTCTTGTTAAGATTAATTCTTTGAGTGGTCAAATTGCTAGAGACAAAAAGAACACAGTTGTTTAATAGGTGAAGGGTGTCAATAGGGGAAGAGAAAAAAGTTCTGCAGGTGGATGATGGTAATGGTGGCCCAACAATGTGAATGTACTTAATGCTTCTGTACATTTTAAAGTGGTTACAATGGTAAATTTTATAATATATTTCTTTTACCACAGTAAAATAAATGAATACTTTGACTTGGAATTCTTGGGCTAAGTATGTATATTTTAAATTTGGGTGTATATTGCTAAACTTTCCTCCAGAAGTTATGCCATTTCTTATGCCAACTACCAGTGCATGTGAAAACCCATTCTCTAGCATGCTAGCAGCACTCTCTGAGTCTCTTTATTCTTTGAATTTGATAAGTAAACACACACACACAAATAACACTATAGTTACTTGTGTAATGATGCTTATTATTAAGGGTTGAGCATATTATTTTCATGTTTGATATTTCTTCTTTGTTTAAAAGCTTATGTGTTCTCTACGTCTGCCCTGCAAATAGGTTATGGACACAGAGGGGGAAGGAGAGGGTGGGACGAATTGAAACTAGCATTGGCATATATACACAACCATGTGTAAAACAGATGCTAGTGGGAAGATGCTGCATAACACGGGAGCTCAGCTCGGTGCTCTGTGATGGCCTAGAGGCGTGGGGCTGGGGTGGGCGGGAGGGGATGTATGTATATGTATAGCTGATTAGCTTTGTTGTACAGCAGAATCTGTACAACAACGCTGTAAAGCAATTATACTCCAATTTAAAGTAAATAAGTAAATAAAATATACCGTTTTGTACCTTAGAAAAGCTTGTGTGTTTCCTTTCCCATTTTTATTGGGCTATGTGTTTCCTTTTATTGATTTGTAGGAGTTCTGTGTATAGTAAATATATTAACTCTCAGTCTGTTATACAGTTTGCAGATATTTTTCCCAGTTCATTATTTCTCTGTGTTACTTGTAATTTTCTGCTACATGAGATTTAAAATCATGTACTGTATCAATATAATCTTGGGATGGAAAAGTCCCTTCCCCATTCCAAGATTATAAAAATAGTCATAGCTTTTATCCAGTACATTCATGGCTTTGTACTTTTATACTTAAATTTTTGAGGCATCTGTATGTTGATGATAAAGACTAAGGTAAAGATTCAGTTGAGTTTTCCCTTATCTGATCATTTATTCTATCATCATTTATATAATCCATGTTTCCACTAAGTAATTTGAAATGGTATCTTTTTGTTGCAATAAGTAACCATATTCCAAGGTCCATTTCATTGCTCTATGTATCCTGGCACCTAGATGTACTGTTTTATTTACAACGTTACCCATATATTTAGATGGTTCCTGTTGCCATAAATTTGGCAATAAGGAGTTCATGATCTGAGCCACAGTCAGCTCCCGGTCTTGTTTTTGCTGACTGTATAGAGCTTCTCCATCTTTGGCTGCAAAGAAGATAATCAGTCTGATTTCGGTGTTGACCATCTGGTGATGTCCATGTGTAGATCTTCTCTTGTGTTGTTGGAAGAGGGTATTTCCTATGACCAGTGAGTTCTCTTGGCAGAACTCTATTAGCCTTTGCCCTGCTTCATTCTGTACTCCAAGGCCAAATTTGCCTGTTACTCCATATGTTTCTTGACTTCCTACTTTTGCATTCCAGTGCCCTGTAATGAAAAGGACATCTTTTTTGGGTGCTAGTTCTAAAAGGTCTTGTAGGTCTTCATAGAA